GGATTGATGCAATCGAATTGATCACAAATGGATACAATAATCGTAAACATCGAACAACGGGGATGAAGCCGATCGAAGTAAAGGTCGACACGCAGCTGAATGTCTACAACCACATCAAGCTTTTCAACAAAAGATATCGATTTAATGTTGGCGATGTAGTTCGAATTAGCAAGTTTAAATCTATATTTGCTAAAGGCTACACATCCAACTGGTCTAGTGAACTATTCAAAATTGTAAAAGTACAAATAACCAACCCTGTGACATATTTGTTGGAAGACATGAACGGGAAACCTATACTTGGAGGATTCTACGAGCAGGAACTCCAAAGCGCAAAATATTCCGACGTATACTTGGTAGAAAAGGTACTACGACGGAAGAAAGATAAAGTGTATGTCAAATGGTGGGGATTAGACGAAAGATCTTGGATTGATAAGAATAACATTGTGTTGTGAGCTTATTGGTTGTAAAATAAAAAAGTCAATAAAAACATTTAGTCTTTTATTTACCATACAACATATTTTTTTACAGGTTTTTTTTTCCTATCACTATCATCTGTACTCATTATTTTTAAAAGTAACTCATACGTCTTCTTATAATCCATTAATTGGGTGGATGGCCAGATTGCAGAATCTGGCCCACAAGTCCAGCCAAGAATTGCGTTTGAATCACCTTCTCCTTTTTGTATATTTCCCATTATCCATCGGTAAATTTGTTTATGACGAGTATCTTCATAAGGGTTAAATTTGCATTCGATACTTTTCTCTATACATATATCGATAAACATTTCTAGAGCATTGACATTAGCGTACTGTGCAGATTCACATATACTTTCGTTTATCACACAAATAATATTTCTATGAACAGCCTTTGAATTAAGTAAATTGGTTATATAGATTTTGATATTTAATGGTAAGCTATCTACTATTTGATTGCCACTAATTTTTGATGAACTTATAACAGAGTCAACTAACTTATCTAGTTCAAGCTTCCTATCTACAAGTAATCTAATACTGTCTGGACTTATATTTCTAAAAGTAGCACACCAACTGAAACATTCGTCCGGTAAGACCAGGTTCTGTAAAATTTCATTAATTAAAGCATAATTTTGCACGGACGGAATTTCCAAAAGAGCTCGTTTCAAGAATTTTTTATAAACTGGAACAGAAGTGTAATGTAATTCATGCTCCAACTGAATTTTCAAATTTTCATGGTTCATGATGTGGCGGATGTATTCTGAAATGTAAAAAAGGGGCTGTGAGACATTGTCAATGACATTTGAATCCCCAAGGACGGGTATCAATGTTATTAGCACAGATAACACGTTTGTCATCGTGAGGACTCAATACTACTTTCTCCTGCTTCAACGTAAATACTGTATGTTTTTTTGAACGAATAAGATGCTGACTTCGTTTTATAATTAGAACGTTAAACAAAGCGTTCTTGTAATCATTTAGAGTAATTTCTCTGATGCTAGTCGATGTCGAGCCTTTAGATTTTTTGGTCAGTTTTCCCTCTACTTCATAAGCGTACATCTTAGCACGAAGTCCTACGAATTCGGTCATAATGTGTCCATGATTTTCATCTTTCATTAGACCGGGGATTTTTTTATTGACTAATGGAATCCCATATTCATTATTGATATCATAATTTGAGGTATCAAATCGATGTATATCATCTTTTATATTCTCGTATATATTGGGAACTGTAAAATAGTATATTAGGCTATCGGTATCTGTATACAGAAGTTTTGTTTTATCTTTAAACTGTTTGAGAATGTAGTTATAATGAAAGTCATAGAGAAACGTTTTTGATATATCTAAAACGGCAAATCCCGCGTATATTGGTTTATTGAAAAATATCTCTAACCTATCCATCTCTATTATAACCATATCCTTATCAAAAATGGTACAACTGCTAAAGTTTGGCTTCGCTATATACGCACGGGCTCCATACCTTCCCTCCCATTTGGTTAATAGTTTCACATCTTTGTATTTTCGCACGTTCTCCATAAGTTTACCATAGACGCAATTAATCATTAATTTGTAAAATTCTATTTCAAACATATTTTTCGCTTGTTGCCTCATGCGAGTGTTTAATTCAATATACTTTTTCAGCCACGGTGATTGCTTAAACTGTAATACTCTATTTATTTTTATCAACTTTAACCCATGTTGTACGTACATCTTTAAATTTCTATAATGAACTACGTAGTTGTGCTTTGGGTACAAGGTAAGCATTAGTTTCTTTAATTTTGAGTTATTTGGCACTAGATGCTCTGGGGCCAAAGGTAAATCAGAATGTAATCTGTGGCATTCCAAAGGATACTCTAAATCACAGTCTACAATATAACCAACGTCTGAATCATCAGGATGGTTTAGAATATCTAAATTTTGAATGTCATCTACAAAGGAAAAATCGCTGCAAGGCAAGAATTCACACATTGAGGCACCATAAAGGTTATTAATATCATAATACATTAAATAGGTCGTCTCCAGGTTAGGATTATATTTTTCTTTCATGTACGGGTTATTGGCCTTCGCGTATCTCATTGAACATTGTGCTACACCTCCTCTTATACCACTTTCAATAAACATCATTTGATCAATGTCACTTAAAAGTTCTAATTTAACGTCGGTGACTTTAAGCATTGCGTCAAATGCCAAACCCGGGGCGGTGTAATAATGTAACGGATCTAAGCGATAGGTACGCAAACAAGTCTCCCTAAAATTTTCAAAGATATCCGCCAAAAGGAGAACGTCCGTCATCAAATAGAGATCAGAATATTGACCTAAGGTTTTAATTTCGAACGCGTTCCAAATGTGATTCGCATGTTCATAGTCCGCTTCGCTCACAGCTTCATTTTTTAATTGACTAAAAAATGCATCTCGAGTTGGTAACACTGTCTCATTTAATTTCTCCCACGAATCAACGTAATCATATGGAAACACTCCCTTTCGAGTTAACAAATGGAATTCATTTGCATTACGACAATGCGCTCTAGTAATAGTTTTCTGCTCATTATCTAAATACGAAGATAGCTTATCTATACTACTGCTCATAAATCTAAAGGAATCGATAAATCGAAAATCTATGTTAGTGTTCTGCACATGCTTCGTGAAAGAAATATATTTTTCTTTGTTTAAAGGTAAGAGTTTAATTCCGCCAGGAAAGCCGATAGCGAGTTCTCGAATAAAAAAATGGGCATCGTATCCGCTTAAGTTATGGAAAACGACTGGTATAACATGGGAGTGGTTAAAGTTCAAATTACATGCCTGGTGAGCCGCCCCTCTGTACCGCCCCGTCATATGATGGTGATCGCGTACTTTAATTTGATCTTCGGTAAAAGGTTTCTCGCAAATGTGACACACTATAGCGTTCAAATAGTTTTGCATCTGATGAGGACTAAGAACTTCCATGGGAACAATAGTATTCACAATTTCATTTGCCCAATCGGCAATCTCGCGCAATCGTTTAATAAACCATTGAATACAATCAGGTCCTCTGTATGAAAACAATTTCGAAAGCGACTCATCATACGAACACTTAAGGTAAAAGGCAATACTAAAGGGAGTATGCTTTTGGTAAAATGTTGTGTTAGCATTTGGAAGATTGACTTTATCACATTTTTCCAAGATGCACTCAAGGTCTGAATAAATAGTAAATGCCACCTTCTCCATGTTAGAATAATGTGTGAATTTTAGAATCCTTTCCGAGTCATTAGGCAGTCGAATGGAGCACTTATTGACTTGATGACATTTAAGCGTATGCTTTTCTAATAAATCACTCGTTGAAAAGTGGTTCAGACAAATATTGCAGAAGAATTTCTTATGTCCTCTACGAGATAGTTGGGAAGATAACAACGCTGACATATTTTTAATCCATGCAAAATGATAGTAACAGTTATTGGTATTGAGGACTTTATTCCTTTGATCAGAAACCAACACCAATAAATTGATAGTTTTTCTATTATCAACTTTACCACTTAACATAAAAGGAAATATATTTCTCTTAACTATGCAATATAAGTTAATGGAGATATCATTCATGTTCTCAAATTTTTTAATATCTGTTAGTTTAATGGGGAATTTGATAGATCCACGATTTAATACTTGGTCAAAATGAGGATAACTACTTACTCTATCGGCATTTTTATTAACGGGATGCAATGCTGCGACTATTGACCACAGAAAACAAAACTGATCATTATTCTTTACGTTAATAACTGCTCTCTTAGCGGCTATAAAAGGAGGAACTTTGACGTATGTTGAAAACCCTCCCTTAATGGGTACGTACTGATTAATATTGATTTTCAGATTTACTATATCCGATAAGGCCCACCCAGAGTTCTTTTCGGAGAAATTCTCCAACTTTGTTTGAATTTTATCGAAAACGTTTTCATTGTACCATTCCCTAAGATTAGTACCGATGTCAATCGGAGCATTTTTGGTCTGGAATGTTTTCAAGTCTATAATGCTAGTTTGAGGATGAATAAAATTGCAAGTTAAAATGACGTTTACTTTTAACATGGATCTTGCTAACGCTATCTTAATTTGGCGTAAAAAACTATCGTACGCATGATTTAGAAAAATTAGGGGATCCTTATAACCAAAATTAACAATAACACCAGTAATTAAACGGCCATTGAAGCAGGAGTCTAATGTGTACCACGCTAGTTTACGTGATCGACTTTTATTGATGACATCGATCCCACAACCCCTTTTTTTCGTGGAAAAATTCTTTAATCGCTCTTGTAACGTAGCCAAATAGCTTTTCAAGAGCGCCAAATTAGATTCAAGTCTCGAAGAATTTTCATTCGGATTATTGAAATGAACTTGATTGACAATAGCTCTTTGCAATATTCGAATGTTGGTTTTCGCGATTGAAATGTGTTTAACAATTTCAGATTTCTTTTTTAAGAGATTTGCCGAATGTCGGGTTAGGTTAACGATCTCACTGCTTATACTCGAAACAGATTCCATACTTACTATGCTGATCAAAGGGTTTTAATTATCCAAGATTTTAATCTGTGTAAATCCTAGAAATGTTGCACTCATAAGTTATCCGACACTAGTGCGATTAGCTGACCACGATCCTAGATGTCACAACTGAGATACTGCTCGAATGATACTGTATACGTAAGTGAACCTGAGAACAGGAACAAATTCTCTTTATAAGGTGTATTGCAAATGTTATTGCAGGTGAATGCTCCACTTTTTCTGTTACTTAGAATTTTCTTATCGGCAGGTGTGCGCTTTGACCGTCAACCTGCCTGAGAAAAAGTCTACGTTCCCACGAGAGTTTATGATAACGTTAACATTTTCTCGTAAGTGTAAACCTGAGAACAGAAACGGATTCCCTTTCATAAAAAGATGGAAAGGTTACTTCAGGTGCATGCCCTACTGTTACTTAGAATTTTCTCATCGGCAGATGTGGACTTTGACTGTCAACCCGTCTGAGCAAAGTTTACGTTCCCGCGGGAGAGTTTATGCTAACGTTAACAAAATATTCTCGGTATATACCCGTACATGTCTTACATGAATCAGTTTAGAGTTCGATGCAAATCGCTATCATGTCGGCGGCAAAACGTGTAAAATTATCTACGAAAAAGAGTGCACCAAAAGCGAGTGGTAGTTCTTCAACAACGACAGTACCGAAAAATACAAAAACTGCCGAAAAACCTCTTCCGCAAGAAGCTATCATTAATTTAGTGGACGAGGATGGTCCAACTGAGAGGTAAATATGATTTTTGTGCAATTATTTCATGAAGATACTAAAATGAACTTTTATTTTTTAGAATAACAACAACAACGACTCATCTAAGAAACAGCGCGTTTAATACCTTGGATGAGTTGCTGGATCAGTTGGATGGAAACATCCACCACGTGTACGCTCCCCAAAGGTAAAACATTCGCAATACCAAAATAACATGAAATTAATATTTTTTTTCCTTTTAGAGTGGACAACAACATAAAAGGCACCGTCAATAACATGCAGTAAGTTAAAAGCGCACCGAAGTATTTTTTTATACCTTTAATTTATATTTGCAGACATTATCAAACCACCACCAGCCTACAGCCGGCTCAAACAGCACCGCAATCGACAAGTTACCAGTTACAGTAAGTTGCATTGAAGAAGAGTAATTAACCTAACTTTGTCAAAATAACATGAAATTAATATTTTTTTCCTTTTAGAGTGGACAACAACATAAAAGGTACCATCAATAACATGCAGTAAGTTAAAAGCGCACCGAAGAAACTTTTAATACCTTTAACTTATATTTGCAGACATTATCAAACCACCACCAGCCTACAGCCTGCTCAAACAGCACCGCAATCGACAAGTTACCAGTTACAGTAAGTTGCATTAAAGAAGTGTAATTAACCTAACTTTAATATTTATTTCAGTATTCCAGAGGGGACCGCCCGTGTGCTACAACATATTATAATACCACCGCCACCACCACCGGCAGAGCCGCAGTAAGTTGCATTCTCTTAAAAGAAAAACGACTTCTATGAATTTATTTTGCTTTCAGACTACAAGGAGCACAACAACAACAGACGAGTACCGTCGGTCAATCTCAGTAAGTTATTTTGAAAGTGTAATGAAAAGAAAGTTCTAACATTCCTATTCTCTTTGTTACAGGCATGCACAAAAGGACATGAAGCTTCTGAGGGAGGTGTTCGAACAAAGCTTCTATGAGACGATCTCCCAGCCTCCTTCAGAAACTGGAGAAATAATTCCACCGATCCAACTTCCAACAGCCGTCGTTCCCTCATGGATTGAACCTGCAACACCCCGTGAATTGGCGAAGGCGTCGCTTGCATGGTTGCAACAGAAGGCTCCTGAATACATGCAGCGGTACGAAGACGCGCAAAAGGCAACGAGGAGGCTGGAAGAGGAGCTCGATGCAGCGCGCCTCACCGAACGACGGCTGGGCGAAGAAATGACTTATATGAACAAATTTATTAATTTTTTGAAATAACAAATTGTAAATAATAAATGTAGTTTAGATGGATAATTTTATTTAAAATGGTAAAACGAGCAACCCATAACTTCCCTCCTTGAGTATTAACTATGAGAGTAAATAGTTCCATTTAACGTTAATCGTATAGAAAGAAGCGTAAAGCGTACTTCCACAATCTCTGGACCTGGAGCATAGTAAAACGAGCAACTCATAATTCGTCTGAATATGAGAGTTCGATTTTACCAGTACATAATATCGTAAGTTTATTAGTGATCGCATAGAGAAAGTCTGCTAACTTCCACGATCTTGCATATGTTGAGAATGATAAAACGAGCAACTCAATTCGTTTGGGTATGAGAGTTCGATTTACCAGTTCATAATACGTAGGTGATCGCATAGAAAGAAGTGTAACTTCCACGATCTTTGCATAAATGTGAAGAATGAGAGTAGCTGGGGAACACGGCGGATCTTAATGAGATTGACTTAATACATTCTCTAATAAGGTACCGACCGTATACTTTTAATACACCGCGCTTTTACGGTCGCCCGCGCTAAACATCATTCCCTATAATAGACGAGTATGTTTCAGGGGAACTCGGCGGCTTACAGCGATAGACCGTGGTACATTGTCTCATTAGAAGCCGCTCTCGCATTGTGATATCATTCGCTTTCGCTGTATGGAAAACCACCGCAATAAATCCCGCTGAATTTACTTACGGCATCAGAGCAATTTTTTTAAAGTTTTTAAACAAAATATTGTTTAACATTGTGCTTTACTTAAAGTAGGTACCACTTTTCTGAATAAATGTACAATTAAGTTCGTGTACCTTATCAAAATTTCTTATAATACGACAAAATATACTTTTACTAGGATTACGTTTTAAAGATGTAACTCGTTAATGAAAATTAAGTACCTACTCTAATATTCCCAATATAAAGGTGAAAAGAAGATTGAGAATACATTCTTATAGGCGGAGATAAAATGTCTATTTTTACATAGTACCTACATTTATGATAATAAGGTCAAAAAGTGCACAATAACATCTGGAACGATTCGTTTAAATTCGTTAATTCCATTGAGTGTAGGGACGGCTTTTTCCTTCCCCTAAATTACAAAGGGCTTCAAAAATTATCCACCGTGCATTAACCATTATGCCTTTCCATTAATAAGTACTTTAACCGGAACACATTTACTCCTACTTACTCTCAAACTACTTAATTTTCTTAATATTTACTTGGTAGGTGGGTTTAGATACCTAATGGATTTGGCAAATTAAATTAGATGCATTCAAACAAAATTTATTGGTTGCATGTTTACAAAAATTGTAACAAATTCTTTGTTTAGCGAGTAACTTTTCACAAAACATATTCAATTATAGATAGGTAGCTCCTTAGTTTCCATTAATCTCTACAGAAGGTCTTCCAGCCCGAAAACTCCATAAGCGAAATTTCTTCCAACACATCAATCATTTTAAATTTAACTTATTAATTTGTCGTTGGCATTGAAATACTTCAATATCCCACTTTAATTTTTTCAAATTTATGAGTAACTTCTCAAGCCTCTTCTTTTGTGATATATACACTGGCGATACCTTTGCTTTTCTCGCAACTGATTCAGTGGTTTTTGTCATCTTGCTGTCTATCAATTACGTCTAACAACCGACCACTTTATATTCCCCCAAGTAGTTAACCACGCCCTCTTAAGACATCCCCTCCCTCTGGTAAATCGCTGACCTCAAAGTGACTACCAGAGGCTCCATTAAGGTCGTTACCCTTTGAGAGCTCTAGTTTTCAAAATCGCCGCCAGAGGAAGATGACCTTCAGGAGATTTGAAAATCGTCTTATGGGATTTTACATGGAGTTGAGTTAGTATCGGCTATATATGGCTACTAATTTGCATTTATTTTGCGATAAACCAATGATAAATCGATGTGCCGAAAACGAATAACGATTTACCCTTCAGAAAATCTGGTTGGGGCAAACATGCTACTTTTAAAATGGATATATTAGCATAGAAATAGTTGGCCAAAAATACTTGAACGATATGATGTTCTTAACATTTCAGTTCCCCTATTTCTACTCTTTAAAACAATGCTTTGTATTCATTATACATCCATTTACATTTTTCTCGTGTTAAATGGAGCATTTTTAATACGCGAACATCAATAAATGTCTGTTTAAATTTAAGGTATTCGCTTGAGTTGTTGATTTTTAAAGAAACGTTAAGTTAGTAGTGAATCGCGCTCTTGTTAGTTATAAATCTTGCATACAAGTCTCATTCCGCCGGCATCTCCTTTACGAAAATAATCAAACGCCGGCCGTGGTATTTAAATTTCTTTAATGTGCAAACGATTACGCGTCAATTTATCTTCCACTTCCAGTTATTAATTAAGTAACCAAAATTCTGGCTCCATTAATTCATTTATTTACTTAGCGAAGGGGTACGGGGGTTCTTTAATCACGAAAACGATTGTATAATAAGAGGGGTAATCAATCGGGCAGAATCCCACCGAGAACAGATTTCCAGCCAATTTTAAAAAAAGGTAGAAATTATGACTCATAACAAGAACTCTTAAAACGCCTACATTGTCGAGGAGTTTCGCAATTTCCATCTTTTCTACATCCATACTCCTTCATCATTTTTTTCCTAAACCACAGCTCGTTAAAACTAATTAATGAGTTTACTTGTCTGTTATGCAAACAGAACGCCCCCGTCTATTTGCAGGGTGCATTTTATTTTTTTTATTATAGGGCTTGTCACAATTCTATTTCCTCCGTTAAAGAGTAGTTCAATTTATTTAGCAAATGAAGTGGTTAATCAAACCTTCACAAACAGTTGATTGCTTTTCCTTGCAGAATTTCTCGATTAGTGTTTATATTCAACGTTCTTGCAACAGTTCTTTTTATGTTCATTCCTCAACATTCGGTAATTAACATAGACGGAAATTCAAATGAGTTGCAAATTCTTAGCGTTAACCTACTATTTAAATCGTTTCTGTTGTGGCTACGCACATCCCCAATCCTTTCCACATTTTTAATATTCTGGAGATTTTAAAACAGTTCTATACAAGTTTGAATCCGAGGAATGTTAGAGGTTGGCAGACACTTTCTTTTAGAGTGTATAAAACCCAATTCTGGGTTCAACATGAAATAAGATATTTTGAAAATTCCTACCGTAGGGATGGCGCATCGCTCAAGGTGCTACGAGAAATAATTAGATCCCGGCTGTAGATTGTAGAACATGAAAATATTGCAAAAACACATTATTTGTTATGGAATTTAATTGAAGCTATCTAACATTTGAAAGCCCTATTATGGCCACTGTCTCTGTCCGAGGCCTCCTACTCCTAGAGTTTTCTTATAGCTCGGGCACGTCAACCAAGAAAAATCTTGACGATTAATTTGAGATTTTTTTAGTAAATGCAAACATATCGCATATTTTAATAATAATAATAATATTTATTGACGGCCAAGCCAATTTATACATAAATTATTAACAATAATAATAGTATTTTAATTAGTATAACATGATATAGATGTTAATAAATAATACAATAATAAATTATACAATAGCAATGAAAAACCAACATTTAGTAAATATAATTTGTACATCTTAAATTAGAATAATTTATGACTGGGTATTATATATTAGATTAGAGTAAGCTATTAGTTTTATTATTTTACGATAAGGTGGAAATAGGGTATGGTATCAGGGTGGTAACAGTTTAAGAACTCTAAAAACAGCTCCAGTTTGTCATGTGTAATGTTGGTTGCCTACAACCATCTATTCCATGCCATGATACTACAGTGCGATCAATAATGAGTTGCTGCGCCGCTTCAATAAATTATGACGTTAGTAATTATTTGCCGCAACAGGCGTGGTGCACTAATACTAAAACATAACCTTAAACTTCAAACCAAAGTAAACTTTTGACGTCTAACCATATTTAATCTAAATCAACGATTTAAGCACCTTGTGAGTTTCCAAATTATGTGAAACTACACAAATAGTAAATTATTACAAAAATTGAAACGATTTTATTTCTTTTACAACTCGTTAATATCGAAGTAATTGGGTAAATTACATGCACACTATCACAACTGTTCGAAGTGCTCGCCACCATTATTAAGACAAGGATCCACTCTTTTCTTCATGTTTTCGAAGACGGAATGTAACTACAGTTGCGTAATGTTTCAAACGGCAGCTTTTATACCTGCTCGTAATTCGGCAATGGTGTGTAAATGGTTCCGAATACGTTGCAATCTCGTAAATTTGCATTAAACCAATTGCATGCAATAATTTAGAGGGCTTTGTAAATCTGGACGATGAGTTCTTGTAACACGGTTACTTTAAAGGATAAAAGTACAACTTTCTCCAGACAGTAGTGCGACACGTTCCGTATAAGATACCCGTTTGTCGTAGCGGCTGTTTCGGAATTTGCTCAAGAGGTTTCTCGAAACTCCTGTATACACAAACGTATCGAGTACTGCCAAACTCAATTTTCGTCTTTAGTCCCATTACGGAAACAGGACTGCAAATGCATCTGACTCTCTTTAAAGTAAAAGGCATGTCGGAGTAAACTTATTACCTTTTACACGCTACAACTAAAAAAACGTTTGTTTATAATTTATAAGCAATTTACCCACCTTGTAAATATTCGAAAGAAACTGGTAGCCTTGAAAAAAGCCGTTTTGAAATGGACGGAAGTTAAGAATCACACATCGGAATTATAGGTTATGTTTTTGTTTTTGTTTTGTATTGGTACACATATAACTGGTTGCGGCAAATGATTACTAATGTGATATTTTTATAAGAGCGGCGCAGCATATGATTATTGATCTCCCTGTATCAGAGTACCCATACGATTTGATACTATCATGATTCCATGCTTTTGATACGTTTTTTTTACAGTAGGTATACTACATAGCGCATAGAAAAATTCCCTGTATTTTTAGCGCATTTCCACAAAAATAAAAAATAAATGCACTATTGTGGCCACTTTGTCCGTCTGTCCGTCCGCTCGTTGGTTGAGACACTATTAGTTATTTATCTTAAGAGCTATTGTTCTAGTTTTTCGCTATTTGGTTAGTTATGGTGTCGAGGCTTGCACCAAGGAAGGAATTTTTTCTGCGTTTATTACTAAAAAAGTTATTGTAAAAAAAAACAAAAAACCGTTTTTTACATGTCCCATAATTTTACGCTTTTGCCGTTTATTAACGATCCTAGAGATCGTTTATAATTTTGTATTGCTGTCTGTCGTGTGTCTCTTGGTCTGTCCGTCTGTTCCTTTGTCTGTGTGTCCCTCTATCTGTCCGTGTGAACGATAACTTTGTTTACAAATGTCCGATCGCTTTGACGATCTCCGTTAGTTATGAACTGAAATGCATGAAATTCAATATGAGCATAGTTTTATTTTGGGCATGCGCAGTTCCAACTTTCTTATTTAGAAAAGCATTGAAATGAAATTCTTCTTATAAACAGAAATTGAAGTAGCACGTCAAAAATGGATTGCACATGTGCAACGCTCTTTCATATTTTTGGCCGGATTTTTACGATTTTAACAGAAGATGCATCTTACAAATGGGAAGTGACTGCTAGTGGAAATGCGCTTTTTGTAAATCGTTTTCGATTACTTTTTAACTTGTTACAATTTCGTGGAACTTCCTTATGCTTAATTTTTTCCGTTTAATAACTTTATTCCCCATAGTTTAGCATATGCTGACAGAAATAGAATTTATCCTGTCAATAATATCATAGGTAAATAAATAGACACAATTTCCTGCCATCAGGTCTTCAGAATTAATGCGATACTAGACAGATTAAATTAGAAAACTAATCGCCTCTTACCTCCGTTAGAAACTGTAATTTCTTACTGCGGTAAAAATCCGTAGGTGATACAAATTACACAAAATAAAGTTATGACCATCATTAAAATAAAATATTTTATTGTTAGCAGTTACCTTACAGTATAATAAATAAAACTTTACTGTTTATTTTATGAGGATTACATAGCAAACTAAATTGTAAACCATCGATGTCGTAGGTACCTACGTTTAAAATAACAAAGTTGTTCGCTTTTTAAAGGATTAAGGACCTTACCGCTTCTCACATTTATGCAAATTACAAGGTCAAAGTTCTTCAGATTAAAGTACATGTAGGTATTTCTATTTTTATGCGAAAAGCGCATATATTATCATGTATTTGTGTCTAGCTGGAGGTTTAGTTTTTCAGTTCTGAACAATTCTGATGGTTTGCATAATAAAGAAAGTATTCAAAGTATACATGTACAAAATTGACTGCAAAACGAGTTGAACTTGTTTTAAATCTGACAAAAAATTAATTTAGGCTTTCTCTGGGTTTAAATAATTTATTAGTCGAAACGTCACCGGTGTCAACGTCATAATTTCGCATGTAGCGCACCCTGATTGTTTTAATAATATATTACTAGCACCATACCGAGGCACGGTAGAGAGTGTTGGTGTATTTTCCTAAATCAATGCCAACATTTCTTTAATGAACAGGATAACAGACAGATGATTAGAAAGGAGGGTCTGGGCCAGGTGGATAATGGATACCGCATGTAGTTTCCACTTAGAAATCACCGAACACGGAATAGCATTCAGACGGAAAACTGTGCTATTTGCTTTCTAGTTTCTCTTGAGTGTGTCTAATCCCACCGGAATTAGATCGAACATATCTTTTCAGAAATTCACAAAAAGGAAATTTGCCATGTCATAAAATGTGATATTACAAGTACGCGTAAGAACGGTTGTTAGTTATAAATTGCACTTTATGTTCATGAAAGACACCATTCGCAATTTAATGAGCATGTAAACACCATTGTTAAACACAATCGCATCAGTGCATTAACTTCACGTCTTATTTCCCTTATTATATGTGATCATAATTTTATGTCAGCGAGGCCATCGTGCCTTACACTTTATTTCGCATGCTAAATTCGAATAATGCTAAAGAAACTGTCATGTGAACAAAAATAGATGTGCTATAAATTAATCATTTCTTTCTTTAAATTTTTTTGTTATTTTTGCGTATTTGAGGTAAAGAAAGTATTGTTTGTTGATGGCGTCTCGGTCGGCCAATTTATCACTTGACCGCGCGTGATTGCGACTTCAAGAGCTTCTTCGAGTACTAGTGATTAATGGAGGTTGTTTGGAAGGGAAAGTTACGGGGTAGATGAAAAATAATACTGATGGTCACACTTGGGGGCATTACAAAAACGTGGACAGATAGTAATTCATCAAGTTTGAATTTTTACTTCATTCTTAGCAATTGTAGGTAGGATGTGCTTTTATGTTAACATTTCGGTTTGTTTCAGGCGGAGGAGTTAAATTCCATTGTGGGAAATGCATTTCGGATGGCGTACGCGGCTCAACTACAGAAACAACCAACATTACAAGATGTTATTAGCTCACAATTAGATTCTAATACTGATAAAGTACTTTGGGTGAGTAGTAGTATAGATACAGTTCTTACAATAAGCTTAGCGAATGGTGTAAAGTTGTGGAGTAATATTTAGAAAGCGAAGAAGGTTGTTCCAAATGGTATATTATTTGTTTGTAAAAACAGAACCTTACGTTAGCAAATATAGCTCTTGTAAACATAGCATCGATACGTAATTAAAATTATGCATTGCATTTGAATCATAATCATTCGAATTCTAGGTAAAAAATTGATGCGGTTTTAAACCAAAACAGAGTATAGATCCCTTGGTTTGGAATAAATGAAAAAGTTCCCGATAGGAACTTAGAGACGATAGCTCTGGTAGCTGGTTCGCGAGCTAAACCTTTTGTTGTAAACGAGGTTGTAAATCTTCATTTACACAGAACCTTATACAGGTACTATTTATTTCATAACACAAATTTATGTACAATTATTTACAAAATTACAACACCCTTTAATGTAAATTGAGCACTACCAACTTTTGAGTCAACCTACTTCGATTGTAGGCGAAATGTGACTGCTTGAAAACTAAAAAATTGACTAATTAACACCCTAAAACTAAGAACATTTATTGCAACCATATGGGCTGCAATATTAGCGCAAAGGACCGCATGCAAGCGGCTCCTTTTCCTAGTCACGTATTAAATAACTTAAAAATTAGGGTGACAGGCGAAAACAGAAAGAACACGGAAGTCATAAATTGAAATAAACATATGGAATTTGTAAAACCGCACAGAGCGTGTGAAAGATTGAAAGGGAAAAAATTCTAAGAGTTCTGAAACAAAAAATAATAAATGGAACTATTCTAACTTAACAAAAATACTTATAAACTAACAATATAATGACCGGCGGCGTCTAAATTGACAACATCCCTGAAGTTGATTTTTTTAAATATGGTGGACGAAGAGAAAGAATTCTGTCGATTTACAATTAAAACATTTTGATTGAAATCTTAACTGCATGAGCTTATAATGTTTCTGAATTCAGCAGTATATTTAAAAATGGGCTTGATCACGCCGATAACAAGCACAATTTGTGCACAGCCCTTGTACATATAAAGCGCATTTTTATAACCCCAATGAAATTTGCACATTGAGCGAGGTAAAGGATTTTAAAAAAAGACCGCATGCTTAATGCGTGTTATTTAGACAATAGCTTGATAATAATTGTTACAACGCAATCGATATGACAATCTGTTTTCGAGATGAGATATGTCGAAAAGATGTTGGAGAGGAGGGTTGGAGGATAGCGATAGTTGCTAGAAGTCAATTCCTTTGGTTGATACCTTTCATTAGAGTACCATGAAAGATAAAATCAATTTGTGACCCCCGCACCCCTCCCACTGATCTCGAAAAGGAATCGGGGAAGACAGTTGTAGTTTGTAGAAACCAATTCCTGTCGATGAGACCTTTCATTAGAATACCATGAAAGGTTTTAAAGGTTTTATATGGTACCACTAGAGGAATATGCGTATGCAAAATCTGAGACAAATTCGTTGTCCCATGTAAAAGTTATCCGCCTTTTACTTTCAGAGATAACGAGAAATAACTAATGGGGGTGGCCCCCCTCAAGACTACAAAATTTGAACGCCGCCTGGCACAAATTTACGGCATAGGGTACCTATTGTAAACAATTCCAGGCCTCTACGACAATTTTCTTAAAAGTAGTATAAAACGGCAAAAGTGGGCCCGGCCGGATATACGGACAGACAGAACGCAAACAGTAGCACATTTTTTTTATTCTTTCACTGTCATTACTGAATCGGATATTGCTATGATAGTCTCAAAAATTACGACAAACTCTGTGGGCGCTGACGGGGTTAGTTATTCAATGATTACAGTTCGTCTGCCTATTCTGTCGCCTTATCTACTGCATGTGGTTTATTGCTGCCTTGAGACAAATTATGTTCCTAATGATTGGAAAGTAGCACACGTAATTCCTTTAGGGTGCGTTTATGTTGGAGCCGCGATAAGTGATAAGAGCGTCGATGAGAGCAGCGACAAGAGCAGAGTGCCGCGCTCTGCTTTAATGCGGTGTTTTATGTTCGAGCTTCGATTAGCGCAGGACTCATCGCTCAGTAGTCAAAACATTAACGAATTTTACATCGTCCTTGATACTTTGGCATATGCCTGGCTAATTTAGCTCGACGTATGTGTGGTGGAATTTGTGTAACAGTCAAAACATTAACGAATTTTAATACGTAGATACAATTGTGGCTGGTAAGGGGCTTACCAGAATGGAGGGGGGGTTTTGTGAGATTCGGTCCGACGAATTGGTATTTGTCGTGGCGATGATTTAAAGATCTATTTAGCACCAGTGATTAAAAATAAGCAATGTTCCATAAATCCCTGCCTTTTCTTTTGGTCGGGACCTGTTTGCCTGTTCTTATTGTTGTCCACAGTTTGCCTACGAGCCTTTCTTTTTCGACTACTCAAATGCCCTACCCAAACTTCTCAAAAATGGAGATCGGCAGAGGGTACTGCAGTGGCATTGAAAATGAATAGGCCTACCTTCTATTCCGAGGACGTTGGAATTATTTAGACTGTACATCACTATTGCAAAATTTGACTCTACTAAATATAAATAAGTGGGCAACGCGATATAAGTTGCATTACTTTAAGGGGAAACAGAAAATTAATCTACATATTTCTACGAACGAAACAACATTTAAGATTGCATTTGGATGTTCGAAATGTTCTACACAATTTACAATTCTGATGCACTAATGATTGTGTAAATGCTCCACAGTTAATTGAATCAATGCATTGAAATTAATAACTACTCTATTGACTAATAGTAATCACACGCTCTTATAACTTATTCATTCATTATCATCACTTGACCACTACCTCATCATCGGAATGCCGCACATCACAATTAAATTGTACATTGTAATAATTCATTTCCAAAGGAATGTTATTTGCTATTAAGAAAACATCACTCCTTCGATTATTCATTGAATTGGTGTATTTATTTGAAACTGAAGGCTGCGTGAGTTTGCTTACATTTCACTATAATATTTCATAACCATGATATTTTTCATTCGTGTGATACCCCCGATTTATGTGAATCCTCTACAAAACCAGAACGACTACCAGCATACTACGATGTACCTCTGACCAGCCCTATTATAAACTTCCGATACTTCATCTGATTGTTAGCATTTACTCACTCCGTACGATGGGTGAATATAGGTTTCGTCCAAGTATATAACGGGTTTCTTGTCACATTCAGGATTCAGGTTGTTCATTTTCTTTTAATCTTCTTAAATAACGAGATGCCATACTACAATGTCACTTCTTTCCATTACCAACCTACGTTTGTCCGACACTTCTTGTATCGAAAACCAAGTTTCAACAATTGCTTGCGAAGAGTTTTCCTTCCACCCATATATTTGATCTTTTCTTGCACTTTTCTAGGAGCATTTTAAAATATCCTTTATTTATGTACAGATCGTCGCGTACTAAACATTGAAATGGCGGTAAAGAGTATAATGTAATGGGCATGCTTAAATTATTGCTCCAAAGCGTCTGTTTATTTACAAATGGAGCTGAAGCATCTGAAAAGTTATTGCCGTTTTGTTTTGTGATTATGTAACTGAATGCACCCAAAAATCGTGCTGATTCCCTTTCACGCACTGCGCATGAGTCCCAACGGCTCCGCCATTAAAAGTCGGCCACTGTAGTTGGAGTTATTTTTCCACGCGCAGGTCGTATGTACTGCCTCCCTATTTACTTATATACAACTCTGTGATCTCGATCGATCCACAACGGGTCAAGATGTCGCCGTGCAGTTCGCAACATCGTTATTAAGAAGCAGAACGTCAAAGCACCGCACATCAATATGAAGATTTCGTTGTAACAAAATCGACAAATTCGACAACTTCGTAGAAAAGAGCAATCTTCGCCATTGCAAACATCGCCTTCGTTGTTAATGGACTTCGAAACAACACGTAAGTTCCTTTGTTTACATTATCCCTTCGTAACTTTACCATATTCTAGTAGCCGTCGTGCCTACGTCAACCATATTCAATAGAAATTCATTTACTTTGTATTTTTTGATAATAAACACGTATTTATGTGTCTATATTCTTTCATTCCCAGCATAAACAAGGCCTTGGAAGTAATTCATAATTACAGTCCACTTACAATCAAATTCTTTGTTATCGAAGCCCCCTTGTACGGTACAATTGACTTTTTGCAGGAAATATGCAGCAATTAATTGTCTTTAAATTCCCTGCCGAATGCCGCCGTATACAAAATTGTATTTATCCCCCAAGGCGCTGTCCAATGATGTCACTCACCTTTAAAGAATACTTTGCTTTTAACCAGCAATTGTTGATAAATTAGGGCTTCATTAAGGCTTTAGTGGGCTACAATAGTATATTGAAAGACAAGTGTTACAATGCGACCTATTGTAATACGACTATCTTGTGGCACGAGTAGCGACGCGAAACGTAGCCACGAGTGTCCGCAAGATAGGAGTATTACAATAAAGCATTGTAACACGCGTTTTTCATACTATTTTTTCTATTTCGGTGCTTTAATTAATTAAAAAAATCATTATCAGTAACTATAGGGAACATTAGAACTAACATGTTTTATGTTGGGAACACTGTTTATGCCGTTAAGTTTTAGGTTTGCAGCATAGTAAGACTGACATTTTGAAGTTCAAACATGGAAGTACCCAACGAAGTACCTACTTGTACTAACTAGTAACTGCCAACTTAAGAGATGAGTTACAAAAAAAAAACGACTATAATCAAAATATTGTATATAACGCTAGCGCGAAGTTATTTCGCGCATTTGACTGATATTTTAACTCGGCTTCGCCTCGTCAAAATACCTTCAGTCTCAATGCGCGAAATTGAACTTCGCGCTCTTGTTATATAAATAACTATTTGCTATTAAAAACAAAAGTTCCACTAGTATTACGTACTGATACTATAGTTTTTAAAAAATGTTAGAAATTTAATAATAACAATTTGAGAGTCCGTTTATTTGGCCCGTCAGAACTCTTACTCCATTCCAAATTTTTATTTTTGGATGAAAGCACATCCTAATTGCAATTATTACAAAACGGTTTCTCAGTTAATTAATTTCTCTCAGTAATGTTATTATAAAAATT